TTGATTTTGATTTTGAGCTCAAGGGATTATGTGAGAATGTTTTTATATGACTTGAATCTCTGATATTCTCTCTCTGATTTTCTAAGCTTTGAAGTGCTCTATTTAAGTTTGACTTCTCCCTTATTTGCAAAGAGTCCTTGATGCATTTAATGTCTATCTGAAAAGTCTACAGACACAAAGGAATGATCATTCCATTATCGTGAATGGTCGTTCCGGACACTAACAGTCAACCCGTACAACTTTAAGGTTCTAGTATGGTCGTTCCATTATTGCAAACGGTCATACCATCATCGTGAATGGCCATTCCACTGCAAGGAACGATCTAACCACTGGCTCTTTAAGATCCATAAAAATTCTAGTAGCATGCACAGCTAACTAGAATGATGTCGTTCAGCTAAGAATTATCTTTGTGTTTGAACGGTCGTTCCACCATGGAGAACGATCATTCCACTTTTGAAACTTAAATCTTCAATTTGATCTTCAAGGCTTGACTTCCAATATTCATCAAAGGCGCAAGATATTTGAATTTTGAGAGCTTTGATTTTTGACTTGGATGGAACGGGCATGTTGTTTGGTCGTGCTAGTGTAAGCGACTTGGCTTCATTTTAGCCAGAAGCATGCACGGTCACACGGAACGTTGTCACGCTCAGAGGAATGTGCATCTGGGCAACTTTGATACAAAGGAACAGTCGTTCCTTTATCCTGCACAGTCATTCCAAAAGGAAAAACAACAATTTTTTTTTTTTTTTTTTGACTCTTCGTCATACCTAAACATGTTTGTTAGAAATCAATCAACTATTTGATTAGTTTTGGCACAACAAAACACATGAGAGCTCAACAAAACTTATAATAAAAATTTAGTTATAAACTAATCCACTAAATGATTTCAAACATAAATATAATAACTCTTGACTTGTACTTCTAATGGACAAAAAACTCAGCAAAGAACCTAAATAATACCTTGTTTTCAACAAATTAAGCTTGGATTGTGTGCGAGAATGTTAATAAGAGGGAAAATTTTAGTGAAGAGAAGAAAGGAGTTAGGTTAAGTGTTAAGTGAAGAAGAGAAGGGTAATTTCATCCGATGAAGACACTAATTATGGAGAAGGGATAATTGGTAAGAGGATTTATAGGGCTAGTTTACAATTCAATCTCTAATTTAGGGACATTTTATATAATTTCTCAAAAATAAATAAAAAGGTAATTACATTTCACTCAATCCCTTAACCCTATGATAATTTTTGAAATTTTAAAACTATAGAAGGTTTATAGTAATTTCAACAAACCTTAGGAGAAGTATGTATTATTTACTTAAGAATTTAATTATGTAAAACCCTAATATGGCAAATACTCCTAGAGAGGGTGAATAGGAATTAATAGATATTAATGCGGAATAATAAATTTCTCAACTACCCAAATGATATGAACAATCAATAACAATAAATATGAGCAATAAATGTGTAGTAAGTAATAAATGAGATGAGAGGAGAAATACTCAAAGATTTATAGTGGTATGGAGCTTTGATCAAGAGCTTCCTATATCCACTTCTTCAAGGTAATCTCCTCGAAGTTCCGCTAGAATCAAATTTCGCATTTACAATAGTTTGACAAGATTTTGCTTTTAGATTTATGGGATCTCGCCTTTAGATTTATTGGATTTCACCTTTGATATGAATGAAAAGTATGTTTGTGATTGCTTGCCTCTAAGCTAGGCTGATACAAACAATGGGTTTCGAATTTCTCTCTAAGGATATACGTTGGAGTACAAATGAAAGAGTGAATTATGTTTAAGATTAAGCTCTAGGGTTAGCAATAATGATTATTGATCTTTGCACTATTCTCTCTCTCTCTCTCTCTCTCTCTCTCTCTCTCTTGCAATAACTCTCCCTATTTATGTCTTTACCAACCCTTGAAATAAATTAGAGTCATTGCTTCATTTAATGCACTACTGCAGCTTTCTGCAAAACTACAAAACCCAGAGTAACGGGTTTTCACCTTGAGCGAATAGGAGTTCCTGACACTAACGGTCCCTTTTCTTTGAATTTTGGTGTTTGGGATGGTCATTCCCCTACTTGAGATGGTTGTTTCCCTATCACAAACGGGCCGTCCCTTCTCAGGAATGGTCATTCCATCCTGGATCTCTTGAAGTCTGAAAAAATCCAAAACATTGAACGACTTCCTAGAATGGGGTCGTTCCTTCTTGGAATGGCTTGATGAACTTTAGGAACTGGCATTCGTCGAGATCGTTTGGGTCTAACTCTTTGCTTTTCCAAAACTTGACTTGAGCTTGAATCTTATAAGGCCAAAGTCTTGACTTGATTGTGGAACTGGCATTCCTCATATGGAATTTGCTTTCCTCTTTTGATTGTAGAATTTTGTCAAGATTCCAAGACGATAAACGATGTGATGGAACTACGTCATTCATGTGGAACGATCTTAAAGAATGGTCGTTCGGTTTGGTCGTTCCTTCTTCAGATGTGTGTTTCAGCCTTGTCGTCTAAGTCTTCAAATATGTTCGAAATGACTTGATTGGATAGTTGTTTAGCTTGGTTGACTTGATTAGAAGATTGCTTCATTTTGGGCAAAATGATGAATGACATAATGGAACGATGTTGTTCCAACTTGGAACGGCTTGACTAGGAGTTTTTTTTTTTAGAAATAATTGATTGGAACGAGCATTCCATCTATGTGAATGGTTGTTCCACCTGGAAAACTGCATTTTCTTTTTTCGTTATGACTTATGTCATACCTTTGCACATTTGTTAGTCTTTAAACATTCTTTTAATTAGTTTCGGCACATTGAAACACACGAGGGCTCAACAAATTACTTCATTGGTTAAAAAAAAAAAAAAAAATCCCTAAGGTTTAATAAATAACAAACTGCCCTTCAATATTTTAGAAATAACTTAACTCCCCCTATCATTTAGTTTTGTGTGTTAAAATAAGGAACGATCTTAAAGAACAGTTATTCGAATTGGTCATTCTTCTTCAAATGTGTGTTTCAAGCTTTTTGTCTAAGTCTTCAAATATGTTCAAAACGACTTGACTGGATGGTCATTTGGCTTGGTCAACTTGATTGAAATATTGCTTTATTTTGGGCAAAATGATGAACGACATCATGAAACGATGTCTTGGAACGACTTGACTTCGAGTTATTTTTCTGAAATAACTGATTGGAACGGGCGTTCCATCTGCGTGAATGGTCGTTCCACCTAGAAAACTGCATTTTCATTTTTTGTTATGACTTATGTCATACCTTTGCACATTTGCTAGTCTTTAAACATTTTTTTGATTCGTTTTGGCACACTGAAACACATGAGGGCTCAACAAATTACTTCATGGGTTAAAAAAAAATCCCCTACGGTTTAATAAATAACAAACTACCCCTTAAGATTTTAGAAATAACATAACTCCCCCTATCATTTAGTTTTGTGTGTTAAAATAAGGAACGATCTTAAAAAACGGTTGTTCGGATTGGTCGTTCTTCTTTAGATGTGTGTTTCTGTTTGTTCATCTAAGTCTTCAAATATGTTCGAAACGACTTGACTGGACGATCATTCAACTTGGTCGACTTGACTGGAAGATTGCTTCATTTTGGGCAAAATGATGAACAACATCATGTCGTTCTAACTTGGAATGGCTTAACTGGGAGTTATTTTTCAAAAATAACGAATTGGAACGAGCCTTCCATTTGCGTGAATAGTCATTCCACCTCGAAAATTGCACTTTCATTTTTTGTTATGACTTATGTCATACCTTTGCACTTTTGTTAGCCTTTAAACGTTCTTTTGATTAGTTTTGGCATATCAAAACACACAAAAGCTCAACAAATTACTTCATGGGTTAAAAATAATCCCCTAAGGTTGGGTTAAAAATAATCCCCTAAGCTTTAATAAATAACAAACTGCCCCTTAAGATTTTAGAAATAATATAACTCTCCCTATTATTTAGTTTTGTGTGTTAAAATATAGAATGGAGGGGCAATTAGATTAAACCCACACTAAAAATAGGGGAATTTATGTTATTGTTGAAATATGAAGGGAATTAATTAACATGGTCAATGTTCCTAGACCACTTGTAACTTAAGAAACTGCTAGACCCTACTAACTTCCGAAACTACCATGAACACCCCCATATCTTCACTTTTAGTCATTAAGGTTAATGGAGAAAAGGACATTATGGACATTTCAAATTAAACTTACAACTAATTAAAATTTTAATAAAACTTGTTACCTCAACATCTGAGGCAATTCAAAACATATCAAACCATTTAGTCAAAATCACATTATATAAACTTTATATACATTTTTTTTCTACAAACTATATATAACGTAAGAATAGGTAAAAACAAAATATCAAAATCTGTAATTCCTAAACTCCACACCGGTTATCCAATTAGAAGAAACAAAAAAACAAAATAAAAAATTAATGAGTTAATGGGTGATTGTTAGAATAGAGGTAGGTGGTGCTCGTAATTTGCAGCAGTCTTTGGCCAGTGAGGTGACCTAACAGCACACAATTGGTCGCAATATCACAGCCAAGATCGCTTGTGATTTGGCACCACCAAAAAAAATCTCGTAGTCCTCGATCTGGTTTGTAGTAGCCGCCTCTTGTAGTAGTTTTTTTTTTTTTTCACTAATTGTTTTTTATTATTTGATTTGTAATTGTAGGCATTTTGAAATTTCAGTTTCTAAGTGCAGGCGTTTTGTAATTTACAAATTTTATATTTTTACAGAAATTGATACTAATACAATATATCACTTTAGTAGGGGTAAAATTGTGAACTCAACAACAATAGTCACCTAACTTACAAAAAAAAAAAAAAATATATTCATCTCATTAATTTAACGACTAAAAGTGACGGCAGGGGGTGTCCGTGGTGGTTTTGGAAGTTAGTGGGGGTCAAGTTATTTCTTAAGTTATATGAGGTCTAGGGGTATTAACCCATTAAAAATCATCGAGACAACTCAAAGCCTTGATCTTGATGTTACAACTTACAATTCCAATCCAGAACCTAAAATTTAACTCTTCTTCCTTCATTCTTTCTGTCAAAAAATGGATTCTTTGTTAGCCACCTACGCCTCTTCAGACGACGACGAAGAACAACCACAACAACAACAAAGCACGTCCTCTTTTTTTTCTGCTCTTCCCAAACCTAAATCTTTCTCTCTCTTCTCTTCGCTCCCCCAACCCCACAAAAGCCCCATCACCAAAACCCCAATTCAACCCAAACCCACTTCCAATTCCAACAATTCCTCAATTTTCTCTTCACTTCCGCAACCCAAATCTCAAAGCTCACAGCCGCCTGAAAAATCCACCAAAAGGGTTGTGCGAATCATCCCTGCGATTAAGTCCAATAATTTCGATGAAGACGACGAAGACGAAGAAGAGGAGAAACAACGAAAGAAGCGGAAAGAATCCCAAATCTTGAATCAAGATTCTTCAGTGAAGTCGTTTTTGTCGAGCATTCCTGCTCCCAAGAGCTCTGCGACATTGGGGGTTCTTCATGCTAATCAAGGTTCTGGACGAAGATCCATTATCGAAACAGAAGCTCCTGCTGCGAGTTCAAGTGGTTTTGATGCCAAGAACGAATCGAGTGCTGACCAAAATGAGGTTAGCTATGCGAGTTATGAATTGGGTAGTGATCAAAATGCTATAGACTATGCAAATCAATATCCAAGTGTAGGAAATTATGCGATTCATGAAGTTGGTAGTGATCAAAATACTGTAGATCATTATCAAAATGAACAAAATTATGCTAGTCGCGAAGTGGGTAGTGATCAGAATGTAGGGAATTACGAGAACTATGTTGGTTATGAATCGAGTATTGACCCAAATATGCATAGTGTTGATGGTTCGACGTATGTGAATTATACGAGTTATAATGGCCATGGAGATTATGGGCAATTTGAGTCGGGGGCAATGGTGCAAGAGACAGCTAGTTTTAGAGTGCCAAGGAAGAGAGGTAAGAATGAGATTCCAACTGAAATAGTTGAGGTAAAGCAGGACGAGTTGATGAAGGATCGGCCACGTGAGGACCAGGTCAAGTTAACTGGAAAAGCATTTGGACCTTCTTATCAGGTAATTGCCACGAGGTCTCTTGTATTTTATCTTTAGTCTCATAGTTAAATTGTTTGCGGTTGATTATGGTGTCTGATTTTGTTTGTTGATTTCTGTTGGTGAATACATATGCTACTACCGTTCACTTTTTGTAATTCCATATGAAGAGTTTGAATTTGTTACAACTTTTAGCAGAACAATAGTTTCTTGAATTTAGGTCAATGGCATAGTACTACTCTTGAGATCTGTTCATGCAAAAGATTGTCAGGTTTTTTAATTTTAAGCTAATAAATTTGTTGGATAGGAATCATGTGACAGCAGATAAGACTAGAATGATGGTTTGATTTCAAAGAAACTACTATTGGCAGACTAGAATGGTGAATTATTATTCTTCTAATTGATCTATTGAAGTAGTTGGAGAATGCAAAAACATGTATGTAATTGTAAGCTCATTCATCTTTGGTATGAGAAAGAAAAAATATTTATTGTTTAGATTGTATGAAAAATAGTCAACCGTTGGTTGTTGTATGAGGCACAATAATGTTGGGCTTTTCTATTTAACATGAGAACTTGGTTATGATGTTGACCTTTCATCCTTAATCCCAAGGGTTGGGATGAGTGGTTAAGGCCTTTGGTTTCAGTTGAGAGGTTAGAGACTCAACTCCCATTGTGGGTAACTGTGCACAATTCATGTATTATGGTATCAAAACTTTATCATGGGAAACCATCGACTTTATTACTAAGCCTTCAAAAATTTATTATGATAATGTTGCATTTCTTTTCTGAAAACAATAAAAATATTTTTAAGGTGCAAAGCACCCATAAAGTTTAAATATTGTTTTCTTCTCTGAAAACGATAAATTTCCTAAATGCACATAGCACGCATGAAGGTAAAATATTGTTTTGTTAGTGAAGCTTAGAAATATATTGTCAGTAGGTTAAATAAACTCTAGGCTTATAATTGCAGATCCAATAATGAAAGAACTATTGCCAAAGATTTTTCAAGAACATGTGAAAAGAATAGGTCTTGGAATGTAGTCAATTACAGTTATGGATCACATAATTATTTTATTATTGTTTGACGTTTCGAATCCAATATTTATTTTTTATGTTTTTTATCATTATATTGCGTACATGAATGAAACTGATGAATTACAACAGGTGTGGTCTATGACAAAGACCTAATTGGAGCTTCTCATTTGTAGATCAAGTTAAGTTGATTGCTAATTTTGCAAACTTAGAAGAAAATATGTTACATTACTGAAATCAGCTGTCACTACTTGTGTTAGGATTTTTTTGGTTAGGTCTTTGAATCAAAGAAAGTAGGAAAAACATTTATGTAGTGAAGGTTGAAAACTAGTATCAAAACGTTAAAAAGTAACATTTCACTATAATAATATGTGACTTGGATATTATGGCAAAAGCAGATGATTTAACCTAATGAAACTGAAAGGTTCATGGTTGGATATTTTGTATTGAAACATTGAATTAAAGTTGGTATCATCATTTTAAAAAGAAGAAAGGAAATAGATGGGTAAAACATTCACTAGTTCAAGTGCCCAATAGTTTTCATGGCACTAGGAAATGAATCAACATTTTACCAAGTTGATTACTCAAGGAATGAATCATAATCAACATTATTAGTACTTCCAAGAGTCTTTTTGTTGGTAAAGCACTGAATCTGTGTTTTTGTGCTTGGATTTTTGGTGTTGTTTTTATGTACTTAGAAATTTTGATATCTAATTTTTTTGTATTGATCTCAGCAGCCTGTTTCGACAAAGGGAAAGCCTACAAAGCTTCACAAGAGGAAGCATCAAATTAGTTCTTTGTACTTTGATATGAAGCAAAAGGAGATGGAACTAGCAGAGCGGCGAGCAAGAGGCTTCCAAACTAAAGCTCAAACACAAGGCAAATATGGATGGTGAACTTAATTATTTTTTGTCTTTTGTAATTGAAAACTGTGGCAACATCAGCCTTTGTAAACCATTAAGTTTTTGTTCTGAAGTAGATTTTCCTCCATATCATTATACTTGTGACCTAGAATGTCAAAATTTATAAGTTTATTCTATTGGGAGAAATTTATTTATATTTGAACCGCTCCATGTTGGGGTCATTACTGCTGTAGAAGTTGGGCTGTTTCTGATTTGCATGTTTGTCTGCCTTTCCAAAGTTTTTCAATGCAAATTATTGCGTTATAATAGAAAATTTAAGTACCTACTCAGATTTAGAGCCTGAACCTGAACATAATTTGTAATTGTAGGCATTTTGAAATTTCAGTTTCTAAGTGTAGGTGTTTTGTAATTTACAAATTTTATATTTTTACAGAAATTGATACTAATATAATATATCACTTTAGTAGGGGTAAAATTGTGAACTGAACAATAATAGTCACCTAACTTACAAAAAAAAAAAAAAATATATTCATCTCATTAATTTAACGACTAAAAGTGACGGCAGGGGGTGTCCGTGGTGGTTTTGGAAGTTAGTGGGGGTCAAGTTATTTCTTAAGTTATATGAGGTCTAGGGGTATTAACCCATTAAAAATCATCGAGACAACTCAAAGCCTTGATCTTGATGTTACAACTTACAATTCCAATCCAGAACCTAAAATTTAACTCTTCTTCCTTCATTCTTTCTGTCAAAAAATGGATTCTTTGTTAGCCACCTACGCCTCTTCAGACGACGACGAAGAACAACCACAACAACAACAAAGCACGTCCTCTTTTTTTTCTGCTCTTCCCAAACCTAAATCTTTCTCTCTCTTCTCTTCGCTCCCCCAACCCCACAAAAGCCCCATCACCAAAACCCCAATTCAACCCAAACCCACTTCCAATTCCAACAATTCCTCAATTTTCTCTTCACTTCCGCAACCCAAATCTCAAAGCTCACAGCCGCCTGAAAAATCCACCAAAAGGGTTGTGCGAATCATCCCTGCGATTAAGTCCAATAATTTCGATGAAGACGACGAAGACGAAGAAGAGGAGAAACAACGAAAGAAGCGGAAAGAATCCCAAATCTTGAATCAAGATTCTTCAGTGAAGTCGTTTTTGTCGAGCATTCCTGCTCCCAAGAGCTCTGCGACATTGGGGGTTCTTCATGCTAATCAAGGTTCTGGACGAAGATCCATTATCGAAACAGAAGCTCCTGCTGCGAGTTCAAGTGGTTTTGATGCCAAGAACGAATCGAGTGCTGACCAAAATGAGGTTAGCTATGCGAGTTATGAATTGGGTAGTGATCAAAATGCTATAGACTATGCAAATCAATATCCAAGTGTAGGAAATTATGCGATTCATGAAGTTGGTAGTGATCAAAATACTGTAGATCATTATCAAAATGAACAAAATTATGCTAGTCGCGAAGTGGGTAGTGATCAGAATGTAGGGACTTACGAGAACTATGTTGGTTATGAATCGAGTATTGACCCAAATATGCATAGTGTTGATGGTTCGAGGTATGTGAATTATAAGAGTTATAATGGCCATGGAGATTATGGGCAATTTGAGTCGGGGGCAATGGTGCAAGAGACAGCTAGTTTTAGAGTGCCAAGGAAGAGAGGTAAGAATGAGATTCCAACTGAAATAGTTGAGGTAAAGCAGGACGAGTTGATGAAGGATCGGCCACGTGAGGACCAGGTCAAGTTAACTGGAAAAGCATTTGGACCTTCTTATCAGGTAATTGCCACGAGGTCTCTTGTATTTTATCTTTAGTCTCATAGTTAAATTGTTTGCGGTTGATTATGGTGTCTGATTTTGTTTGTTGATTTTTGTTGGTGAATACATATGCTACTACCGTTCACTTTTTGTAATTCCATATGAAGAGTTTGAATTTGTTACAACTTTTAGCAGAACAATAGTTTCTTGAATTTAGGTCAATGGCATAGTACTACTCTTGAGATCTGTTCATGCAAAAGATTGTCAGGTTTTTTAATTTTAAGCTAATAAATTTGTTGGATAGGAATCATGTGACAGCAGATAAGACTAGAATGATGGTTTGATTTCAAAGAAACTACTATTGGCAGACTAGAATGGTGAATTATTATTCTTCTAATTGATCTATTGAAGTAGTTGGAGAATGCAAAAACATGTATGTAATTGTAAGCTCATTCATCTTTGGTATGAGAAAGAAAAAATATTTATTGTTTAGATTGTATGAAAAATAGTCAACCGTTGGTTGTTGTATGAGGCACAATAATGTTGGGCTTTTCTATTTAACATGAGAACTTGGTTATGATGTTGACCTTTCATCCTTAATCCCAAGGGTTGGGATGAGTGGTTAAGGCCTTTGGTTTCAGTTGAGAGGTTAGAGACTCAACTCCCATTGTGGGTAACTGTGCACAATTCATGTATTATGGTATCAAAACTTTATCATGGGAAACCATCGACTTTATTACTAAGCCTTCAAAAATTTATTATGATAATGTTGCATTTCTTTTCTGAAAACAATAAAAATATTTTTAAGGTGCAAAGCACCCATAAAGTTTAAATATTGTTTTCTTCTCTGAAAACGATAAATTTCCTAAATGCACATAGCACGCATGAAGGTAAAATATTGTTTTGTTAGTGAAGCTTAGAAATATATTGTCAGTAGGTTAAATAAACTCTAGGCTTATAATTGCAGATCCAATAATGAAAGAACTATTGCCAAAGATTTTTCAAGAACATGTGAAAAGAATAGGTCTTGGAATGTAGTCAATTACAGTTATGGATCACATAATTATTTTATTATTGTTTGACGTTTCGAATCCAATATTTATTTTTTATGTTTTTTATCATTATATTGCGTACATGAATGAAACTGATGAATTACAACAGGTGTGGTCTATGACAAAGACCTAATTGGAGCTTCTCATTTGTAGATCAAGTTAAGTTGATTGCTAATTTTGCAAACTTAGAAGAAAATATGTTACATTACTGAAATCAGCTGTCACTACTTGTGTTAGGATTTTTTTGGTTAGGTCTTTGAATCAAAGAAAGTAGGAAAAACATTTATGTAGTGAAGGTTGAAAACTAGTATCAAAACGTTAAAAAGTAACATTTCACTATAATAATATGTGACTTGGATATTATGGCAAAAGCAGATGATTTAACCTAATGAAACTGAAAGGTTCATGGTTGGATATTTTGTATTGAAACATTGAATTAAAGTTGGTATCATCATTTTAAAAAGAAGAAAGGAAATAGATGGGTAAAACATTCACTAGTTCAAGTGCCCAATAGTTTTCATGGCACTAGGAAATGAATCAACATTTTACCAAGTTGATTACTCAAGGAATGAATCATAATCAACATTATTAGTACTTCCAAGAGTCTTTTTGTTGGTAAAGCACTGAATCTGTGTTTTTGTGCTTGGATTTTTGGTGTTGTTTTTATGTACTTAGAAATTTTGATATCTAATTTTTTTGTATTGATCTCAGCAGCCTGTTTCGACAAAGGGAAAGCCTACAAAGCTTCACAAGAGGAAGCATCAAATTAGTTCTTTGTACTTTGATATGAAGCAAAAGGAGATGGAACTAGCAGAGCGGCGAGCAAGAGGCTTCCAAACTAAAGCTCAAACACAAGGCAAATATGGATGGTGAACTTAATTATTTTTTGTCTTTTGTAATTGAAAACTGTGGCAACATCAGCCTTTGTAAACCATTAAGTTTTTGTTCTGAAGTACATTTTCCTCCATATCATTATACTTGTGACCTAGAATGTCAAAATTTATAAGTTTATTCTATTGAGAGAAATTTCTTTATATTTGAACCGCTCCATGTTGGGGTCATTACTGCTGTAGAAGTTGGCTGTTTCTGATTTGCATGTTTGTCTGCCTTTCTGAAGTTTTTCAATGCAAATTATTGCGTTATAATAGAAAATTTAAATACCTACTCAGATTTAGAGCCTGAACCTGAACATAAACCTACTAGAAATATTTCCAAAAACAATTTTCAAGTGTATTCGGCATTCCTAAAAACTAATGTAAAATAAAAAAACGATTAAAAGTCTTTTTTAAAACGTTTTCACAATGTTCAATAATTTTTAATCTTAAAACAGTTTTTAAATATATCAAAGACATTTTCAAAAATTAAAAATGTTTAAGATACAACTTAAAAATTTGAATTGTATTCTAGGTTTTTGAAAATTATTTTTAGATCACAAATAAAATAGACCCTAGACAGCATTTATTATGCAAATCGTTCTGGAAGGAGCCCCTTTTCCATTCAATATGATAAACAATAAAGTTAAGTCTAAACCATCATAACAGTAACTAAACAATATACACAAAACTTGTCTACCAATCCAACAGAAACAACCCAAGCAGCATACTGCTTACAACATGTCTACCAATCCTTGAGCAATTCACTTGCGACATCCTTGTAGCTAACTTTCTTTTTCTTAGTAGGCCCTGCACGGGCACCTGCAGATGGTTTCTCATCTTCACGAATTGGATCTGATGTAGTTTCAACCTTCTTTGCTCCAAGGCTTGGAATCATGTCCAGTAACATGGCTTGAACCGGATCAACCATAACTTCCAGTGTTTCAGGCTTCTCACTGTCTTGGCTATAATTCGTTTCAACCATTTCAATATCGGGAGCTTGAACAGACTCATCTACTTTTCTAACATCTTCCACAACCTGTTGCTCAGTTGCCTTTCCTTTGTGAGATGGTTCCGATTCTTCTAAAACTTCAGTCTTCAGTGTTTGCAATTTCTCTGTACCAACCATTCCATGATTTTCATGATTCTCTTCATTCATTTCAGTATCTTCCTCAATTTCTTTTTCAGAAGATGTGTCAATTCTGTCTGATTCATTTTCATATATTTTAGAAGGCATCTTTCCGACACGTGCCCTTGTTCTTCGAGCTGGGTTGACAATCATTTTCCCTTTCTTTGTGCTCCCACCAGCAGGTCTTCCTCTTTTCCTTATGCCTTCCCTCTTTGGCAAGGACAGTAATCTAGAACTTTCCGAAGCAACTTTGCTTCCTCTCTGTTTTCCTTCTCGGCCAAGCGACGATGGTATATTCTGGCTTTCCAAAATTTCCAATTCAGAAGAGACTTCTTTCATATCTAGGTCTCGTTTGCTTTTAAGAAAGAGACATCAATGATATAGTCAGTTGTCGAAAACATATTATTACAGAAAAAATCACTATTCTTAACTGTATTAAATGACTGTTAATATTACCTATATACCTAACAAACATTGCCATCTTTGTGGCCCAGACTGGGATGACAGCATGTGCAGGAGGGTGTAAACAACGAGGCCAATTCACAAGATTGTACAAATATGTTTAACTGTTTCCTCAAACATGCAAACAAATCTGAGATTTTTTAGTTCTCTTGCTCAGAAGCTGCAACTGAATTCTATCTAGTTCTAGCTTTTGGGTCTTTAATACTCAGTTGCCATAAATTCTGATCATTAAATTTCTGAATTTTCAAGTCAATATGTAAAATTTTGATATCTAGGAATCTAGTTATTCTGACAAATATTCCAGTAGAACAGTCCACAAAAGAAAATGAGAAATAGAAAGGGGGATTAATAGATAGGAAATGGAGAAAAATAGAAAAAGTGAACCTAACTGAAACATGGTAGTCTAACCAAAATATCTAAATTTTTAAAATAAAATACTCCCTAAAGTGAATAGTAAAATCTAACTTCATGATTATCCATCACTATAACCAAGTATGGCACTGATTATAATTGATTTTACACATTTGCACTAACCACAATTCAGAGTATGACTGTTCTATTCCACTGGGCTTCAAGCTGTACGTGTCTTCTTCCAACTTTTGCTCCCTTTTTAAGCAGTCTTCCAACCACTGGGATCCAACAACATGCAACTTCTTGTTCCCGAAAAGATATTTTTCTGTGGTGGTAAAGCTGTACAAAGAAGAAGCTAAACTAAAAAAAATTGAACTTTATTTATTATACGTTCTCACAAATTCATAATAACCCATCATCAGAAAAAGGTTGCAATATTCTGTTTTTACTTTTGAAGCAGTTAAATTACAGTTTAGCATGATTTTTGGCCGTTTATAGTAAACAGTGTCATGGTAGTACAATTATACATAGTGGAACCCTGGCCAAGATGTGCAAACAAAGCATGCAACTAAATTAAATTCACAGACCAACCATTGTTCTATATTTTATAATTGACCACTATGCATCAACATTCTGAATGACCATTTTCTTACTGACCCATGAACTAAATATATCAGGCTAAAATAATAATGACAAATTTGCCTCTAATATATAACTAAATAAATTTCAAACCAAGAGAGGGAGAACAAGAAAGGAAAAGACCAAAGGAAGAGGGATAAGAAAGACTAAACGCTAAGATTATCAGTCTCAACTCTCAAATCAAGTTAAACATATAACTTAAATTAATTTCATCAATGCCTTCACAAAGACCATACAATCCCAAAAGGAAATTGAAGTTAGCAAATAATAACCTAAGCAATAGAAACTAAGGAAAATTCCTAAAATAAAATAACAAATAAATAACATCCCTAAAATAATGAATTATACCATAAATCACATATATTAAGACCTATAAGTCCTGGTTCTACATCTACTTGTAACATAGGTGTATAATCCTTCACAACAACTTCAATCAATAGTATAATTGTGGTACTAGTGTCATCATTACCCAAAATAGAAATGAATGAACGAATATTTAGTAGAGCATCCACAATTGTGGACATTTCAAGCTGGAAATTGTCTAAAAAAAGCTTTAATTTAGCCAAAGAGCATCCACAAAACATATACGAAAATATAAAGCCAATTTAATTAACATGTTCATTGGTCAGATCACATGTCTAGTACTTATAAAAAATAAATAAAAAATAAAAAAATTGCAATCTTTTTTTCCCTCTCTTAAGCCCAGAAACCCCTGAGATTTTCTTATTTTTCACTTATTTTCAACTTATGAGTATTATGACCTTATAACATTGTCAGTCAAGAAACATGAGCTATAATATCCCATGTGGCCCCAAGAAGAGTTGAATCCCTGACCTCAGGGTTAAAACTAAAGGCTTTTAACGACTCAATCCAACTTGAAAATAGCATGAATTCAAATGCTAAGGTAGAGCAGCTTCTGTGATCATTAGTAGGTAATTAAACAGTTATAATCAATTTATGGACCAAATTCCTCAGTATGCAGAAGAACAAATAAAGAACTGTACCCTTTTATAAGAGAATCAAAGTTCATATCAGTTCCAGGTACTGACAAGATCACCAAATGGGTAGCATTCACAAGATTGTTGCAAACTTTGCCACCACCAAAGGAAACTTCGAGCTTCATTCTCCTCAAGGCAAGTTCCAACAAGACTTCCCCATCAGATTTTCTTCAAGAAAAAGTTAATTATTAGGAAAAAAAATCTCTAGATAATAGAACCAAAGACTTATTAGAGTCAATAAGACCAAAGAAAGATATACGAAATAATTGATTATGGAAGTCAGATCTTACAAAGACTCTGTTAAAGGATAGAAGTAAATGCAGCAGCCGTGAAAGCAAGACCATTTGTCTTCAGGACAGTACTTTTTCCTGTAATAATCAACAGTTGTGGGATCTTCCGAACGATGAATGTTGCTTAAGAGCTGAAAAGAATGAATTTTTTTGACTCTTCAGTGGTTCTAGTAACAAATACTCTACACAGCAACATGAGAGGATTTAAATCTCTTAAAAATGCCTATCTGTCTCCGTTTACTTTTTCTTTTTCTGTGATTTTCACCAAATGTACATTGTACAAGTAAAAATAAAGTTTGCTGCGTTCATATACCTGTTTGAGGTCTGCAAGGTCAAGGTCCCAGTAGAAAGAGTCAGAAAATTCATCAACTTCTTCTTGTAGCTTTGTCTTTGAAGAATCAGAGAGGTTGAGGAAGTACCTATTAGAGGAAATAAAGAGTTAAAAGAAATTTTACAGTTAAAAGGTTACTAAGAAAAGGGCATTCTAAATTTAAAAAAAAAATAGATTAAATGGTAAAGACTAACCTTGGCTGTAAATGGAGGAGCTTCTTTTGTGAACAACAATCCAAGACCCAAGAGTAATGAATAACATCTCCACGAAGCTTTGCTGCCTGGTATTTTATCCCTGAAATTTCAAGTTTAACTTATTTTTCAGAAAAGAAACTTTTTCTCGAAGTTCATGCATGCATGTGTTTGAGAGAGTGAGAGAAAGAGAGAGACCTCTGTTCTCAGCTGCAACACAGTGGGTGACAGACTTATTCAGATTCATTGAAAATGTGCCACCATTCTCCACAACCATTTTGTGCAAGGAGTCAAGAGAGAGGGTTGGAGGAACATTAACAAAGTCTGTATATGTCAAGGAGATTAAGTAACTTTACCAATAGCAAAACAAGAGAAAGATTCAATNCTTGGCTGTAAATGGAGGAGCTTCTTTTGTGAACAACAATCCAAGACCCAAGAGTAATGAATAACATCTCCACGAAGCTTTGCTGCCTGGTATTTTATCCCTGAAATTTCAAGTTTAACTTATTTTTCAGAAAAGAAACTTTTTCTCGAAGTTCATGCATGCATGTGTTTGAGAGAGTGAGAGAAAGAGAGAGACCTCTGTTCTCAGCTGCAACACAGTGGGTAACAGACTTATTCAGATTCATTGAAAATGTGCCACCATTCTCCACAACCATTTTGTGCAAGGAGTCAAGAGAGAGGGTTGGAGGAACATTAACAAAGTCTGTATATGTCAAGGAGATTAAGTAACTTTACCAATAGCAAAACAAGAGAAAGATTCAATAGTACAGCAGCAAAGACTTAATAGCCAGAACAAGCCAAAGCCAGTTGTAAACAAATGGTGCAACTATAAATGCATGTGAGCAGTAAAGCCTTTGAAGAATTTATAATCTGTCCAAGTTGAGATCAAGATTAATGGCGATTATAGTTGCAATTATCCTATGACAAATGATCACATTACAAGACTCCCAATAGAGATGTGTTTTCCTGACGTAGATCAATTCTTTATACAATAGTGTGAAGCAAGACATTAAGGAGAAAGAGAGAGTAGAAAAGGATGTGACATGCAGTCCCAAAACTACTGCAGGTAAATCAAGAGGCATGGAATTGAAGCTGCAATGTCTCAACAAGGCTGCCGGTACATAAGAAAAGAGACAAAACAAGTTAGGATGCAAAATAGAAGTCAAGAAATCAGAACAGTAAGTCATGGAAATTAAATGACACAGATAATGGGCTGTCAAAGGATACAAAACACCATATTTGAGAATATCAAGGTTTCACCCTTAATATTGGAAACATCAGTCTGAATGAAATGTGAAGGAACAACAGATACATTCTTTCTGTCTCCCAATCTAGATGACTTGGCACGTTTTGGTTTATAATCTAGTGGGGCTCCATAATCTTTCTCCTTCTTTGTGGTACCGTTACTTGAATGTACAAGTTCTACAAATGCTGCAAAAATAAAATTTTGAAAATTAAGGATATTACATATGAACTTAAACAACATTTATAACCCACAGAAGCATTTGAACACATCCGCCTTCCCCTCTTACACTGCACATCAAGACATTCGTGCCAAGGCTTGTCATATCTCACTCTGTCAATACGTGGAAATCTCAAGCTGTAGGGTGCAGCAAACACCTGAAGAAACAAAAGAGGTAGCTTAAATGAGGACCAGGTAACTCAAAAAGAGTAAATAATCAAGCAGCATATGGTAACAGCATATTTTTGAACCACCTAAATATATTATTTCTTCCACACAATCAAGCAAAGCACATAAAATATAATTGTGAAGACATACCTCAGACCTTATAGTACGGATATCACTGGTTATAGAAAGTATTATTGATCTGTTAAAAAAAATATATAATAATTAATTAATTAATTAATTAATTAATTAATTAAATAAGCAATACATTGATGCTGAAAAAGCACATAACATCAAACTTTAGAAAATTTAATAATAGAAGGGCTAACTTCTCAGGGCTCTCAATCCAAACATCTGGTCTCTCTTTTGAGTTATTCGTAACTTCATAGAAACCGGGCGGTGCCCTCTTTGGATATTCATACTTCCTGACAAAACAGAATGAACGAAAACATATCAAATAAACAACTAGGAGTTTCTACCACAGGATAACTATTCATTCCAAAGAATGACAGTTTTGAGGCCACAAACAGGAGAAATTTTCCCTAGAGATAATCAACCAGCTATTCTGTCTCTAGATGTTGGAAGTATTATCGATTCTTCACCAGCTGAATTACATTACATCATGAACAATCAACATTGATTTTGACATCAATCCGAGAGTACAAGACAAGTTGCCAAATATAAAAATATTGTTGCCAGAGTTTATTCCAAATGATTCCATAGCTACCAAATGTAGCTCATTGAGCATTTCCATGTGGAACACCAGAAGCAACCACCATTTTACAAAATTTTATATCACAGTACCTAAAATAAGGCTTCAATTTGGTTACAACTGTATCTAGCTCGTCATCTGAAAGACCAGTACCCACTCTGCAAAATGAGATAAATCTGCAATAGGATAACTTGTTTAGTTCACTGACATATTTGGCAAACGAATTACACGATCGGATATAGTTCATGATAAAAATATAATTAAAATCTGAAAATGCCTAAAATTGTCAGAATACTAGCACTTTATTTTCAGAAGTCACTTCTGATGACATTCCTGGAATGGATTACATAGTGTGATAGTCCATTTAGGACCATCCAATTCTAATTTGATAGCATCTGTACCACTTCACAACATCAAAAACCTATTAACAAGATGGATTCAGCCAATTTGTAGTGGCTTGGCCATATTATGCATCATACATTATGAAGAATTATCAAACGAACATGCTTTCTATGGATCGTTGATTGTGTCTTATTCATCATACTTGTTAAGCTATTCATTAATGTTGTTCTCACCCTCAAGACGAATGCTAATTCCACACACATAATGGTTGAACCACATATTAGAAGCCCATGAACATATTCTCCGTACTCATGTATGCCATAACAACAGATGTATTGGTAAAATTTTGACAGTGAATAAATTGAAAAAACAGAAGATACAATGGCAAGAACTGTTAATTGAGCATTCTCAAGTGGACTGCTGAATATAAATAAACATATTTATCAACATGTAATGCAGAAAAGTTTTGAAAATACACTTCCTACGAACAAGTTATAATTGGAGAAAAAACATACCGCCTAGGATATGTATTTGGAGCTGGACGTTCAGCCAGGGCCACCAAAAATTGAGCTACCTGCAAACAATAATAATCTGTCTGTTAAATCAAGGTTAATACACAAGGAGCTCAACAACAAATCACAAAGAAAGCTAGCAAACTGACCTCTCCTCCACGACGTCCAGAGCCATAGTATCCTCCTATTACCAGGCATTCAAATATTTAAAGAAGCGTCAATTAATACACTAATTTGCTTCTAAGAAACGAAAAGGCTTAAAATAAAACTCGCAACAAGAAAAGAGAAAAATAAAATAAAAGGAAGAAGAAGAAGAAGACGGGACTACCAACCTATGATTAAAACATCTAAGTCAGAGCCACTTCTGATGTACTCAGGCTTCAACTTTAGCCACTTTCCACTTCGATCACTTGGTTCCCATTTTGAACCAAGGTCTTTTAATACAATTCCTTCATCTCTAAACAAATAAATATATTTTAACACAAGAAAACAGGTAAGTAAACAACAGATATAATGTTTGGATTGACATCCAAGCAAATAACAAAATGGAAAGGAACACATTTCGAAATAAAATTAATTGAAGCAAATATGGTATCAAAGCAATAGGATATTGTTGTTGCAGTTAGATGTTCAGGTAAGAGCCCCTGGAAAAAATCTTCTCAAGGCAGCAGCTTATTTCCCTCGCTTTTGCGGATTTAATTGAGTGATGATGAGGTAATAAGATTTCTGGAGACCTATTGGTTGGCAATTCTATAATGTTTGCAATTTCAGCAACTTTAAACTCTTTATATTTATGATGTCACCATTAGGTGTCTCTAGGATACAAGTTTTTCTGTAACAGATATTTTGTCGCAAATTGAAAATAGGGAAGACGATGATTTGTGTTCTTTTCTATGCTATCTTTGACCAACATATCCACATCTCCAATTAAAAGGAAAAGTAGTGGATCTTGAGACTTGAATCTTTGAGGAGTATTCTCATGTACACCCATTTCTAAAAGGTTGGCAATCCTTCCACTTCTTTCAGTAAAATGATCAGAATACAAGAGTTCCATCCAAAATTCAAGTTTTCACCTGGAGTATAATACCAGGTCTTGAGATTTTTTTTCAGATACACATTGGACCTTCTGTGTAAGTCAATAATGCTCTACTACAAAATATAACCACCAAACTCCACAAGGATTAAAGGAAAATAAGACCTCCAAGCTTTAAATATGATTGTATTATCATTTCAACCACAAAATTAATGCAAAAAGAATGCTAACCTATTTTCAATGGTTTCTTTGAAAAATTTCTCAACACCCTCCACATTAGAAGCCATGAGTGACCAACAAGGCTCCCCTGTATAATTAGCATAGTCATAATTACTGGTCTTCCCACAGATATAAAATTGTGTAAAATTAAAAAACTTCAATATGATGAAACCATTAACCTAACACTTATGCTATTCAATAAAACCCAACAAAAGGTATTTAGGTTATCATGCCCCCTCACATACAAGGCACATAGATCAAGTACACCCACAACACAAGTATAGCAAAGTACAAGACTTGTTATTTAATTAGTACAATAAGAGATTCTAGCATAAGACCCTTAGCCATTATAGCTTTGATACCCTATTACGTTATTACCTGACCCAAAAGTTTTAAGCCAATCTATAAAGGTCAGACAATAGTATCTAATTTTGAGCAAATGACCTATCCATATATCTGGAGTAAAAGTAAACTCAGACATTGCAAGACTAGTTGGATGTTAATACAATAAGATAATCTGGAGAGTCCACAAAAGCAACAACCCACAACCATGCATTTTAGACCAAACTGAACAAAACCCCCAACCAACAGTTAATCTTGGACAGTAATATTTGGCCATATATGGCTTCATTCAATAATCCTTATGCCCACTTGGGTATAGGTAATGATATTGGTACCAATTATTTCAAGAACAAAATAATAATGCCACTTGGGTATAAAAATGATTCATACTACACATAGCCGTAAGATGTGTAAGAGATTTAGCAGCTTCAAGTTTACTAGGAATTCTACAATTTCAAATGAACTCCAGTACCTAAATGGTAGTCAAAGGCGGGTTACAATTTCGTATGTTCGACTATATGGAGATATCATTTCACTTTTTACACATGCATGACACTTATAAATAAGTTAAACTAATTGAACAGGTTACACATTGTAGTATGATAAGTAATTTTTATCCTTTATTATTCCCTAATAAAAGTGGATAAGCAAAATAAGCAAATGAGTTGCAACTTATAGCATGAAGCACATCTCTCATATAAGATATTTACCAACAAATTATAAGAAAACCAAAATTTTGTTAACAAAAAAGTTTGATGCATCGAGGCATTTTTACCTATCATAAGGAGGATGAAGCAAGATAGAATATAAACTAGATGTGTGCTATATAAATCATATCATGACCATGTATTGTCATTCGCAACTGCAGAAATACTCTAAGATCACAGTTTAGAGTTAATGTAAGAGAAAGGCATGATGCAAAGACTAGGGAACCACAAATAATTGGCTTCACATAACACAGTTATGGCCCCAATTAGAATCGCTTAAGAACTTAAAATTAATTTTATTTTATAATTTTGGACTAAAAAGGGTGTTTGTAATAGGTCCCAAATCTTAAGCTTCTTTTCTTCATGGCCAGTTATTATTTCAGCACAATAATGATTATCCTAGAAGTCACAGGAACATCAAACTAGCTTAATAGTTCTTTAGCCAAGCCAAAAATAGTCAAGCGCGACAGAAAAGATCCCTCTCACAAGTTCAATTTTTAGTCACAGCAAAATGGCTCATAAATCAAAGCAATTTAAACACAACCTGAATCCAATGGATATAGTAACTATAAACTATGTATTCTTAAGATCAATTTTTACAGGACGGCCCAACAAAGCTAATGCTTGATTTCAGAATGTATTGGATTCCACTATAATCAAAATCAGAGATTAGTTATTACCATATCATAATTAAATGACTATATACCTCCTACGATGAAAGATAGTAACCCCTTGCATGAGAAAATTATTATCATCAATGAGATAAGATTGATGAATATTAGTGCCTGTAATACTTTTACCTGGAGGGCGGTGAGTATTAAGACCACCATTAGGTACTAAAATCTCTAAACGACCCTTCAAAGGCTTCACTACCTTTTTAAGAAGCTCATGTCGTTCCTTCAAGCTTTGGTGAATGACGCTAGTATCTCCAACATAAAGAATATCAAATGCAACATCTAACAAATTCCAGATGAAGGAAAATTAAATTAATGGAAAACATTACATGTTTAATTTGAGGATATATAATTAATGTAACTCAAACGCCATTAAAACCAAATCAAGCAATCTCCACTCTAGCTTGGACACAAAGAGGATACAGCACAACTGCATCAAAAAAGAACATACATTAATATTAAGTTTGTGCTTCTTTATTTTGTTACAAGGTAAAAAAATATATGTAATGACATAAACCTGTCGATCACTGTCAAGTCCATCCCTTGCTGCCTTGGCTGAAACAAAAAAATAATGATCATGAATGTAATCCTCTCAATGGAAAAAGGGAGGAAAATAGCAGTTTAATTGATTTTTGTGTAAAAACCTATTTCCTGATTTGAACCAAACTCAGCAAACCGATTCAAAGAAGTGTCCCACACCAACATTTCACCATCAAGTATACACCTACAGTATTTTCAACGAGAAAAGTTAATAATAACTCAACACTTCAAAAACTTTCAAGAGATTTTTCATCAACAACTGTTCCAAGTTTTTCAGTTACTTCCATAAAACTCAACTAATACAAGTATACCAAATCATTAATATAACCAAATAAAACTCAGTGCCAAAGGATATTTCCAGTATGCTTACTCAAAAATCTATACTAAAACTGAAAGGAAAGGAAGCACCCTAAATTTGTAATAGTTCGATTCAGACAACATTGCAGTCCACTGCACAATTTAAAAGTAACTTGAGGAACCACTAATCACAAAATTTTAATACCATAGGTAAGGGAACTAATAAATTAAATCAAAAAGGTTTATTACTTGGATCAGACACAAAAACAACTAGTTATAACTTAAGAATAAATATTTTTCCAGAATCCGATCGAAAGAACAGATGGTCAAACAAGTTACGGTACTATGATAAGGATCTACGAATCCTTTTCAGCTTAAGGTTGTAAGTAAGAGCTCAACAATAATGTTTAAGATCCAACAACCAAAGTACAACCAAAAGATACAAAAAAAGATGTACTGTGAAACTTGAGATAAATTTTACCTGTCAACCAAAATATTTTGCACAATAATGTTAGACATTGCATGTCCATATTCAGAGTGATCAAGAAAGTTCCTGCACATAAGTGATTTCATGAATGATTCAGACCAAAATGTACAGATTTCATTGATTCTGATGATAAGTAGACCGGAAGAACTACTATGACGTAAGTGTTCCAAGCTTAACATTTTTAATTATTATCATTTTTTTTTTTACGAAACTTGATTTTCTTAAGTAAACTTGTCAATTAATTGGTGGCCCAGTCTAAACGTAGAAAGTAATAATAATAATATATCCATGCCATTTAAGGATTTACATTTACAGTTGAAAATGAAATGAAGAGGTAATTAGGACCCTAATTAAAAATAAAAATTCAGAATACAAACTTACGCAAAATATGAAAATGAGACATTAATGACAGATGTTAACCCACCTCGAGAAGTAGTGTATCTCTGATCCATTTTTATGAATTTGAATGCGATCACCATCAAATTTACACTCAACAATCACTTCCTTCCCATGAAGCTAAAAAAGGGGCATAAATAGATAATTCAATAACAACAAAAAATCACAAGCAGAATGAATTAATAGAATAGTTAGAAACTTTGAAGACCACATTCTGTTATAAGAACATTAGCATGAACTTGTATACATTATCAAGTTGGTAAAAAAGCCTATTCTAGTCAGACCTTTTTCCATGCAGCATGTGCATCACTAACTCTCATAGCTAGCTGAGGGCGTACAGCTTTCCCAACTTCAATGTCCTAGAATAATAATACAGAAGAGTCATCACTTAAAGTCAGAAATATAGCTTTAAAAGAAATGAGAAAATCCTAACAGGTATAAACATTTTTCAGCCAAGAAACTTAAAAAAATTCAAAGAATTTACAAGCATTAGTTCCTTAAGTGATTTCAAAAAACATTTTAAGTCACCATCAGAACAGATAACTTTGACTCTCGAGCTGGTAGGGGGAAGAGAGAATAGAAGAAAGGAAAACAAAAGAAGGGAAGAGGAATCATCCTTCATCACATTTATTCTATTGAAAGCAAGGAAAGAGGAAAGAATGAAAAGGAAAAAGTCAGAAGAATTGTACATTTTTACAATTTGGCATCTACTAATGGGAAATGTAAGAGAAACTATAATCTTAAACAACGATACACTTGAAATTACATGCATGAACCCATATTTGTAAATTTTATGTAAAATGAGGTTGAATAAAGCAATTTCTCCCCTTGATGGACCTCAAAATTTCAGTCCCTCTCTTATTTACAAAAGGATTGATTCGATTTTGTGAGCTTCAAGAGATGGCTCATCCTTCCCCTTCTATTAATTCTTTACATCAAAGGCAAAAACAACCCTCCTTGGTGTTTTGTCCTTTCATCTTTTTCCTACCTATCAATTTTAGAAGCCTTTGGTTTTATATCAAGACATAAGGTTTATGTCCAAGAGTGAAATTGTCAACATTAATTTGCAAGATAGCGAATTGGCTTATTTGACAAATAGGTCGATTTCTAGTATTGGTGAATGCTATTGAAGGATTTGAGTTCACCTTTGCATGGTAAACACTACTTATTGAGCATTTGGGACCCGTGGTCTAAAAGGTAAACAAAGGATTACAAGAGTGAAATAAGCTTTTTAATCGAAAGTAAGTAGTACTTTATCTCATGTAGTCTCTCCAATTTTCTAATTTCATTATCCTTTTAAATAGGGTTAAAAGTTAATGAAGGAATCATGTAAATTTATTTGAGAAAGGTGGAAAGTAGACTTGGTAAAGGGGAAAACAATCATTGGTCGTGCAAGAAAGGAAGATGAGGCATTGGCAATTTAGAGAAAAGAAATATGGCTCTTTTGGGTGAATGGCCCTAGGATTTTCCTTTGTAATCAAATTCTTTTTGGAATGATGTAATTCAATGTATTAATGGGCTTCAAATCCATGGAAGAGATTCGAAAGTGGTAATATGGATTCATATTTAGGCCAGTGGAAATTTATATTAAAAGGAATTCTTTTATTATCCCCCCATTTGAATCTTGTAGGGGTTGATGAAAGGTTTTTGTTTCTAAACAATTAGGATACCTATTATTTTTCATTTATATAGATTGTGAATATCTCTTAGCACAAATTTGAATAGTTCTTTTCATTTGCTAAGCTTTGGTCTTTTGAAGTGGATTATTGGTCCTCTATATTCGCAATCTTGCCAAGAAAAATTTATAAAACGTAAAACAAGTAAGAAACACAGAAAGTATTTGTGATTCCTTGTTTTAAAGCATTAAAAGCTTAAAAAGAGATATAGAGAATGATTTAAGTGTTTGAAACAAACCTGCCTTTTATGTCGTTGACTTCGATCCTTTAACTTTTCACAAACCAACTTTAAGTCACATGTGACATTGAACAAGTCTTCGGCATCTGGATGAAATTCATGAAAAATGCTCTTTTCACTAATTCCCAACTTCAGATCTACGAAAAAATTTGCACATCATTGAAGCCAACATAATACGACCAAAAGAGGTTTAAAAAAGAAACGTCAATATGGATGGACAGAACTCAGCACCTTTAAGAATTATCATGATAATCCACTTCATTTCCATTGCATTTGTCTTCTTAATCAGAGTAGATAGAACTGAAATCTTCTCTGCCCTTTGGCCATAGTTGTTAAAGATGAAAATAACAAAAAAGAGATCAAAAAGCTTGGATGCACACTTCACAAAAGCATCACATTTGGTGCCCCAGGCATAAACTAAGAGAAAAAGAATGCACTATAAGACAAACTTTAAGCAATGTTATGAAGACAGCTTTTGAGCAATCTTTATTGTCAATTTGCCTAAGTCTTCCAAAGTCAAAGCAAATAAGAATATTTAAAGGAGGCAGCTACTAGACATTATCATACTATGTCAGGATAGACCTGATACATTATGACTTATGTAGTAAAATGCAGTTCATCTGCAAGCCTTGATATTCAACACTTAGGTCAACAAAACAATAAGCTATATTATGGGTAAGAGGAAGGGAGAAGAGAGTAAACACGGACCCGTAAAAGCATTGGTGATGGAACGCCTCAGCTAAATCAGAGACATTTAATATCAGCCAAGGCATGAAATTACCCATTTTTTATCAATTCATCCCAGGAAAAACCACCTAAACTTAACTACTGAGCGAAGGTTACAATTGAGGGTAAGTTCAGAATGTACAGCACTACAACTGTTAGAAGTAAACAGCATAGTTTATCAATATTACAGACGTATGCTTGCATTCAACAATATTAATAATTGATATCTCTTATTAAAAGGCTAGTACAGTAAATTAGTATACCTATTTTCACTTGAAGCCAAGCAATCAAGCAGATCATTTAATTCCTTAATTGTAAGTCCACCAGAAATCATTCCTTGCCTACGCTGGAGAACCTGCTTCACAAAAAGCAATAGTTAAGATCAATATACCCCAATTGTATATATATTCTAATGTAAAAAAAAATTACTGTTGGATTCACATTAATGTCAGAGATAAAACTCACTTTGACAGTGATCTATCATAGGTTCAATCAAACACTAACTACCCTGTAGTATGAGAATATCACTAAAACTCGAAAGTGACTGCAACCAAAAGTGATAATATCAATGAATATACAAAGGTATGCTCATGAAGAAAGCATTTTCCAGTTAAACCACTTTGCATTTCATGCGCTCATGTGATCATAAAAAGCTTCTAGAGAAACAATTATAAAGTACTTCACCAAAAACTACTTAATTGTTTTCCCAGCCCAAATGGCAATTCGACACTTCAAAACAGCGACAAAAGCGCATATAATAACTCAAATCAATTTTAGCGGACAAAGAACACAAAATGATATGTTACAGTTGTATCATTTGCTTTTATATCTTAATTTTAATTATATTTCATCACGTCAGTTTAAGAAAACTACTCAGTATAAATTTGAATTTACAATATTATTCCCATAATCAAAAAGAAAAAAGAAATGATGGGGAAACAGACCTCGGCGGCAACCAAGGGGAAATTGCCGGCATTGGCGGCTCCGGCTCCCTTACGCCAATTGATAAGGCGAATAGCATCTGGAGAGTCTCTGGACATGCCGAGGGCGTCGATGAGACACGTGGCAAGCACGGACTCTTTGAGGCCATAACTGCCTCGCTCTCGGTCTAAAGAGGGGAGGATGAGGCGCAAAGAGCTGAAGTAATTGGAGGAGTCGCAGTAGGTGACGAGGAACTTGCGAAACTTAGAGCGTTTCTTGAGCGGAGGTTTAGTTTTCTGTATCCAGTTGAAGAGACTCACCAAAACGCTCACTTTTGTTTGCTCAGTCTTGCTCATTTTGAAGCCAGACGGAGAGGGAGAAGACGTCGTGTCTTGCGGCTTACTCGGTACGCATATTTATGTTTTGTTTCGGTAGTATTCTGTTGCCTTCACTTAGACGGCGTGTCTCGGAAGCTTTGAGTTTGAAAATTGAAATAAAATAAATGATTGCTGTGTTTTAAATTTTAATTGCAAATAACATTGAAGTTAACACAGAGTTTAATTGATCTTTTATTTTTATGATTTTATTAATATACATACTATTACGTTGTAACCCCCTGTGGTATCAGGAATAATCTTAAAACCCTTGCTGTTACTCAAACATTATTAACCCTCACATCTGACATGGTACTAAATATATTGCCCTTTCCTTTAGTTCATTATTTAATACAAAATATATTACTTAGAATAATACTTTGGGTACTAATAGATGAGTACTAATATGTGTACTAACTAAAGCATAGTATCCGTACTATGCGTATAGTATGGGTACTATGCTTTAGTTAGTACATATATTAGTACCCATAGCATCACTCTATTACTTAATACAGTAAAACATTTCTATAGCCATAATAATGGAATTAACTAATTTTATTACTATGTAGATGTTATAACTTAATAGAAGGTGTAGTTAAAAAAATTTCTCATTTCACAATTCATGTTTTAGTAGTACAATATTAGGATTTCAATTCATGTTTTAATAATATTAAGGTTTCAATTCAATGTTTCAATGGCCTACTTTTGAAATGGATAGAAGATCGTATTTTGAAACCAACAAAGATAACTATTCTTAATGGAATTGTAAATATAGTTGTTGCATGGCAACTGATGTGAAGCCATAGATAATTGCCAATTGTTTTAAGCATTACAAAATTAGGACCCCCGATGTCGATGAATTGTAAGTTACAAATGAAGTAGATAAAGAGAATCAAAGAGTCATTGTAGAATTGAGTGATCAGATTCGGCAACTTCACTATACTAATCGAATGAATATTAATGTCTTCTTTAATCATCCAAATTAGTAACAAGTCATGTATGCTTTAACAAAAGAAGAAATCATTCTACAATTAAACAAGAAGATAAATGAAATAATTATGAGAATGATAGTATGGAAATACAAAAAGTTTCATGTCAAGAAGCTCTAAACATGCTTAAGAAGCTCTAAACATGCTTAAGAAGCTAGAAATGTTTTGGCTTTAACAAGAAAATGTTCATGCTAGCGAGTAATATACCCGTAAGTTAAAAGATGTGGTAACAACTCTAAATCATATATTATTGTCTCAAACAACTTCAGATAAATATTTTATTTCATCTTAAACATTTAATGTAACATATCATATATTTTTTTGCAATATACAGATAATTATTACTATGTGGAGGCAACTTTCCTTAAGACAGGAATTAGAAAACTTAATAACTTATTACAATGTGGAGTTTATTCCTATTTATAACTATCCCAAATTGGGAATATAATTTTTTATGACTATGTAGAGTTTATTCCTATATAGAATATCACTATAGAGAGGTTTTACTGAAATAATAATATAGGCTCCGTTTGGCTTATTATTTGTTCCCATATTCTCAACCCAATTTTTCAAATACCGTTTGGCTTATTATTCAGAAAATACAATCCTAACAGGTATCCTGATAAGTTTTTGATCGTTGAAGACAGTTTGCAGCTTTTATTTCTGTTTCTCGGTTTTATTTCACTTTCTCAGTTTTGTTCACTGCATTAGTACTTCACCACCGTGACAAACCGTCTTGTTCTTCTTCCATCCAACTTCTTCTCCACCACAATCTTCCACCTACAAATACCAACCACCTAAATCAGAAAACTACCCCACAGCACCACCCAATCAATCTTCCACCATCATCACAACAGAACCGCACGGCTACCACCCATCACCATCTTCCACCATCATGGCATTACCACCCCACCGCAACCACGCATCACCATCTGCCGCCATCATCACAACACAAACATGACCGGAATCAAACCATCATCCACTGCATCAGCATAATCACAAAACAACACCATGAATCACAAACCATTCACAGTGACTTCCCATCGTCGATCTGCCACAATCCGAAGTCGATCGTCGCAAACTGACCACCGTGAACCCACCGTCATCGCAGATCTGTCCAACGTTAAGCACGACATCACCGATCGGAACAAACCCACCACCGTGAACCCACATCCTCACAGATCTGTCCCACGTGAACCACCGACGTCACCGATCAAAACAAACCCACCACCGTGAACCCATATCCTTACAGATCTATCCCATGTGAACCATCGACGTCACCGATCGTCACAAACCAACCATCGTGAACCCACCGTCGTCGTTGATCTGTCCAACATTAAGCCCTGACGTCACCGATCGGAACAAACCTACCACCATGAACCCACATCCTCACATATATGTCCCACGTGAACCACCAATGTCACCGATCGTCACAAACTGACCACCGTGAACCCACCGCCGTCGCAGATCTGTCCAACATTAAGCCTTGACGTCACCGATCAGAACAAACCCTCCACCGTGAACCCGCCAACGTTGCAGATCTGTCCACAGGGAAAGGTGATTGTGTTTGATGTTTATCTGTCCAAAATATTCAGGGAAGGGAAAGGTGATTGTGTTTGATTTTTTTTTTTTTTTTTTTTTTTGCAGGTTTTAAAATATCGTGTACAAAACATCTGCGCATAATTTGTGATTGTGTTATTGCATATTTGTCCAAAATATTCAGGGAAGGGAAAGAGACCCGCGAAGTACCCGAATCCAATTTGTGAGCTTCCATGACCTATTTGTTTTCAAGAACGCAATTTTCCTCTTTTTTATTTTATTGGAAATAATTTGTGTTAGTATTGTTTTTTTCTTTTCATTAATCCTCTTAATTTGGACTTTAATAATGCGTTTTATAATTGGTTAACTCAAACTGATATATGCACATGAGCTACTTGGATCTGTGGATTTGTTTGTGGGGTTTAACAGTTACAACATGTGCTATGTTGCTTACAATGTTTAGCACATGCGTCAAAATATTGTGCAGTTTCATATGTTCTGTATGTAACATGCTGTATGTAATGGATAAATTTTGGGAGTAAAAAATTATTGGATTATTAGAAATAATTTGTTGGGATTTCACTAACTAATATATTTGTTCTGTAGATTCGACATCGTTCTTTTATCGTAAGAAGAAATTACGATCATATGCACAGATGTCAGTATAATTTGTCCCGACGTCGCAGGATTGATTACTACTTGCAGCAGAGGCAAAAGTTTCGACGTTTTTCTAGACTTGGAGTTCGTCATACACCCTGTTGGTCGACATTGTCTGTATCTTCCCCTGCATTGACGTCTTCAAGCAGTGTCAAATCAAACAAGGTATAAGTTTATCTATGTTTACTTGATTATGTTTACATGTGCGTATGTCTGTTTGTAATGAGATTGGTGATTCGTATGGTGTCCCAATGTTGGTTGTCGTTCTCACCGTATTGTCCTTAGATGAGTGATAACATGAACTGGTCCGTTGAGATGACCCACAAATTTCTGGTCTTGTTGTCTAAGTGAGCGAAAACTTCGTACGGTACTTCAATAAAAACAGAAGATTACCAAGAAATGTTAGACGACTTATCATCAGTGGCTGGGAGGAGACTCAACGTCACACAACTAACCACTAAGTACTTTCGCCTGTGAAGAGTATATCAAGCATGGTAGAAATTGCGCAACACACGAGGTTTTTGGTGGGATCATAAGTCACAAAGTCCAACGTGTCCCATAGAGGTTTGGCAAGAATATGTGAAGGTAAATTTTCAACTTTTTTAACTAATATTAATCAACGACACCGTAATTGTACGCAATTTTTTTTTCGGACTGCCAAATATTAATATATTATTCTTTTGCATTACCAGCAAAACCCACTGGCGTAACAATTCTACCACAAGGGACTTCCTCACAAGGAGCTTTATGAAATCATATTTGAGAAGCAAACTTCCACTGGGAGATATGCGTACATATCTACATCTCAACCGGTGGAGACCTCCACTTATTCCAATCAGGGCGCGGTTCCCATGGATGATAGCGACTTTGAACCTGATCCAGATCAGACGACAGGGGAAAAACGACCAAACACATCTGGCCATGGAAGAGCGAGAAATAGGAGGAACAAAAGCAGCTCGGGACAATCACTTGCGGATGTCATTAGTAGATTGACAGACGAGCTTGTGGAGAAGCAGATTATGGGATCGAGGGCTAGCAATCACAGTGGAGATGAGAGGGACGAAGAGAACAACAGTGGTCCATCTGATCCGTTTTCCATGAGCAATTGTATTGACATCATGACGGCCATGCAAGTACCCACAGAGTTTTACATGCCGGTTGTGAAGTACATAAATCAAAACCCAGGGTGGCGGGAATATTCGTGAAACTCCCGCCCGAGGAAAAGGCTAATTGGATTTATAACAACTTTCGCAATTTGTAAATGACACTGTATGTCCTAAGTGTTTGCCAACACTTTTGTATGCGTTAGTGGGCACTTGTCATTAGAATTAGAATTTATAACGCTAATGTATGAACTTATTAATTGTGCTACTGTTTTATGTGAGATTACATGTTTCATATGAGTTTTGGATTGTCATTAGAATTAAATATTGACTGTTATATTTTGCTAAGTAGTACAACAATTGTTAATTATTGATCAATGTTTTGCAAATGTGCAGGTTTAAATGGTGTTGTCTAGTCATACAGGAAGAAGACACCGTTCTACAGATGACAAAGAAGAAATATTGACAAATATAGCCATTGCACTTTGTGGTGTTACCGCGTTAGAAACAACTGGGCATCAACTATGGCATATATCCATATTAACTGGTCATGAGTACACATGTTGGAAGTACTCAATGATCATGCTGACAGGATCTTTGACAAGTGCCGCATGGACAAAGATTATTTTACATACTTATATGAAATTTTGTCAGAGCAAGGCAAATTGCGACCAACCAGGAGGACGAGTTTGGAAGAACAAGTTATGATATTTCTAAAAATCGTTGATAAAAATGAGACAATCAAAACGATGATGGAGGATTTCCAACATTCGGGTGAGACGATCTCTAG